TGAAATATCGCGATATTTCATTTCCCGATACTGTATCGATATTCTAAAGCCCTGTATCGATTTTTTTATTAAGGTTTAAAATGTCAACTTTCCTGCCAGCCGTTCATTTTTATGTTGTAGTTCAGCCTCTGACCACTAGTTGGCAGCAGTGAGCATGTTGGCAGCAGTGAGCATGGCTCACTGCTGCCAACTAGTGGTCAGAGGCTGAACTACAACATAAAAATGAACGGCTGGCAGGAAAGTTGACATTTTAAACCTTAATAAAAAAATCGATACAGGGCTTTAGAATATCGATACAGTATCGGGAAATGAAATATCGCGATATTTCAGTGTATCGATATTTTCTTACACCCCTACTGGATAACACTTTAAAGTCACCCTAAAGTCCAGCCTCAGAAGGCCTCAGGTAACACAGACATATGTTTTCTCCTGATTCACAAAATACATTGATTTAAAATCAGGTTTTTAGGAAAATGGTTGCTTTTAAATTAATCGTTAGTTATCGATAAGCTCAATCAACTTTAGATTAATTCATTAAACAATAACTTGCATGCCTAATGTGGACTGAAGAGTCAAACTACCAGGACCCTGATAAAAATAACAAAATAACAAGTGTTGTTCCTCCTCCAAGATTAGTCAGATCTCTGTTCGACATTCTAGATTAAACTTCCCCAGGAGGCTGAACAACGGGACAAAAAGAAAAAAAATTATCGAACATCATTTAAAACAGATGGTTCTGCTGCCCTGCAGCTTCAGCACATGTTGTTAAATAAGAACATTAAAAAACAAGATTCAAACCCTCCTCAAACATTTATCTACCCGAGGCCAAGAAACTCTAAATCAAACTGAGCATCACAAGCTTTTTTAAGCCTGAAAGAAAAACAGCTGATGCTCTCAACGCCACATCTGAGAAGCTTGTGATTTCAGAGACAAAATCTCTCAACTGGATGTTGTTGTTATTTTTAACGATCATCGGAACATCATGAAACACGCATTACATAAAAACGTTCCTGAAGAAGAAGAAACATGTGCTCTACAGATCAGCTAAAACAGACATTGAACCACTGAACCAACCAGCAGCATCAGCTAAACTGATCCCAGCTTTAAAGAGGAAGATAAGCCGCTGTCGTGGGCTGACTCATGGCTGCCGAGTCACTGTCACACAGAAAGAAGCTGCTGAGTCATCAGATTTAGCAACCTGAAGCAGGGCCATCACGTCTGTAAATTCATGTCATTAGATGCAGAAAAACAGCAACACGTTTCACTGAAACGTCTGAAAATTAGAATTTCACTGCAGAATCTGGAGCTTTCAGGCTTACAGTTAGAAACTCTGTAAAATGTAACTACATTAAATAAAAAAAAATAAAATAAAAACTAAACCCAGTTGCAGAGATGCTGTTAATGGTTGAAGGTCTGCTTGAATCACGCCACCTGCACACGCTGTACTGCAGCAGAAACTGCTGAGGAGCCAAGGACAAGCAGGAGGAGAGGAGAGTGATGATCGACGATAACGAGCCGCTGCATCTGTCTGCACACTCTCTGTCTTTTAGAAAGGTAGATAAAAGCAATATTATGAAAGAAACGTCTTATTCTCTTACAGAAACATTAAAAAACATTGTTTAGAAATGTTTCAACCCTGAAGTTTATCACATTTAGCATCGAGATACGAATCAAACTGTCTGCTCATGGTTACTATAAAAAGCTACGGAACATTCCCCGTTAATAAAACAACAACACGACTATGGGTCAAAGCAGGTTTAACACACACACCTATTATGTCCCTCTATCCTTGTGGGGACTTTCCACTGACTTCCATTAATTTTTTGAAAATTTTATATCCAAACTCTGACCATTTACCCTAAAACTAACCTAAACTCAATTCACAACTTGGTCCTAAAACTAACCCCCAACCCAAAATCAGCCTCCGAACTCGTGGGGACTAGGGCTGCCACAAACGATTATTTTTTTAATCGATTAATCACCAATTATTTTTTTCGATTAGTCGACTAATCAGATCATACGTTAGTTGAATATAAAACAT